ATATATATATATATATATATATATATATATATATATATATATATATATATATCTATGTCTATATCTGTATATATATATATCTATGTCTATATCTGTATATATATACACTGTATGTATATATATATTATTTATTTTTGTTATAAAAGAAAGAAGTATTTTATCTGTGTCATAGATTGGAATTGTTCTTTTTACTCCATGTTTGTATAATTAACAAAAAAAACTTCATTAAGTCATGAAATACACGTATGTGATATGCAGGTTCTAACATTGCATATTCATATAACAACAAATGTCCTTTTCTTTATTTTTATATATTATTTGAGACATTTCATTTTCAAATAATAAAAATAATAAAAAAGGACTTTTGGATTATTCATACTTTTATAAAATTCAAATGGCATGCTTTCAGATTGTGTTCTTTACAGCTATATGTTTTGGGTGATAAAAATGATTAATTGGTGTACTTTTTGCAGCCTATATTTATTCAGTGTGAACAAAATATGCTTAATTATTAAGTAAACCAGTTTTTATGGGCAATTAACACAGAAAGACATTTTATTTCATTAAAAAGAAATGGAATTTTTAGACAGATTCAATAATTTAAAACTGCAGTAAATCTGCATAGTTACGAGTAAAGCTTCCTCCGTGTATTAAATAGGATATATATACCTGTACCTACATTTGTCTTCTACAGATGGCTTTTTACTGTAAGATTTTTTATACCTCAGGATATTTATTCCCCTTTTAAATTATTCAAAGGTAAATCATCTACGATAAACACTTTGAATAGCTTACACAGCCATCAAAGAATAGGATTTCTATTGGTAAATACACAATTCTCTCAAAATCTTAAATACTGCTGAATTTTCTCAGATATAATCTATCTAAAAGATATTTAAGACTTCATAGAGTCTCTTATTAGGAAAATTAAAAATTTTGATTTAGATATTGAAAATTTCCATTTCACCCAAAATAATTATGTCTTTGCATTTGAAAATAATTAAATGTTAGATAATACGAGGGGCATTTCAAAAGTTCTGACAACTGGTGTGCGGTAAATTAATGAGCGTCATTATCATAAATTAAATTATATCAATCCCTCAAAATAGTCTCCGTTGATATGGACACACTTTTTCAGTCTTGAAATCTACGTGGAAAATGCTGCCCTATAGTCCTCTTTCGGTATATGCTTCATACACTGGAATACGGCACTTCCGACTGCGCATGACGACTTTCAAATCGCCGTCCTCGGAGGGCTTCTTTGATAACGGCATTCAACCAAAAATCACATGGAGCTAGGTCAGGACTGTAGGGTGGATGTGGTAAAGCGGCAATAACATTTTCCTTTAAATATTTGTTTACTACCTCTGATCTATGGGCAGGTGCGTTGTCATGGAGGAGCTTTATTTCTCTAGTACTGGTTGTTGGTCGGGTCGTTTTATAGTGCTCTACAACCTGAGACAAGACATTCTCTGCATAAAATTGACCAGTAACACTGCTGTGTTCTGGAACCGGAACTTGAGCAACAGGGTCTTTAGAATCAAAAAATAAGGTGTACATTACTCTCCGGACAGACCAGTTTCTGCGTGCAATTTGAGGCCTTGTATCATTTTCACCGATCCGAACTTTATTATTGAGCTTAGTTTCCGGTTCAAAAAAATATATCCATGTTTCATCACCAGTTACAATCTCATTTATTCGCCTTTGATCACAATCTTCATAAATTGTTAGTAACTGTGAAGCCATTTTTACCCGGATGCGCTTTTGCTCTTCCGAGAGAAGATGCGGCACCCATCTAGCACAGACTTTCCTAAGCTTTAAGTTTTCCTTCAAAATACGAAAAACTGCTGACGAATTAATGTTAGTTAAGTCTGCTATTTCCTCAACTGTATACATGTATCTAGCATCATCAGCTATCGCACTTTGAACAGCGACGATTTCTTTTTCGCCATAACTGGACGCCCCAAACGGGGGTCATCTTCAATTGATTTTCTACCCTCTTTAAATTGAACTACCCATCTTGCTATTGCTCGATATGAAAGAGCATGCTCTCTATATACTACATCTAAATCGGCTTTCATTTCTGTTGCCATAAAGCCAAGCAATGAGCGAATTTTGCAATACGCTCTTTGCTCAACAAAAAAAAATTGTTCTCCTTATCAGTCATTTTTACGCCCTGTATACAGAGTATACCTAACTATGACGTCATTTTAGCAGACCTATACGTCATTTTGAATGTAAAATGACGTCACTACTCATGCATATTTGCCTAAGCTTTACAGTGGTATCAGAGTCATTTTAATCCGTAACGTAGTTAAAATTTTATATAGCAGTTGCAAGAACTTTTGAAATGCCCCTCGTATTATTTCGCGAAAAGATATCATAGCCCTATGCAATAGGATTTCAGCTTGTACAAGATGCAAATTCTTAGTAGACGTCATTTGCTTGAACCATTTAACGCAGTGAGATGTAAATATAATTAAATCTCACATTAGATGTTTTCTTTCTATGTGTTATTCCCAATTAAGAAAGGGATTTTAGCGCGTGTTTTAGCAATTTCTGGAACGCTGAGTTTGTATTACGTATATGTGTATGCCCGAAACATTCCGAATACGAGCGTTCAATATCGAACGCCCCATTTTAAACAGCAAAACGCCGTCTGGTCAATCTCTCAAAGGCAAATTTATGATAGGTAGTGCACGTGGCAGCAAGGTAAGATGGGTAATTTTCAGGCAAAAATTGAAATTATTAATTAATAATTTAGTGCCTATTAGCCTCAATAAAACCTCAGTATGCATATTGCAATGCTTGGTAGGATTATTGGAATGATGCAATATTGAACACTGGCAAGGATCTCCATGTTTTAACGAATTTCGACTAGAATCATCATTTCAGCAAGTTTGGCCACTTTCAGTATTATATGATAAATTTTATAGCTTATCTTCCAGAAAGTTGACTAGCTTTTGCCAAATCTATTTGTCAATAATAAGTTTTCTGGTCAATTTAAATGGCTGGCAAAATCCAGTTGACTCGTTTATTGTAAAGAAGTTATTAGCGGGTTACAATCCATTTTAGCAGACATTGCTGATCTACTCCCCCATACTACTGTTTTGATTTGGTCCCATATTTTGCCACTCTATAGTTGGACTAATTGCCTTGCAAACACTGTGAGTGAAAAATGCAGACGTAGAATAAATAGTGCTTGTGCAACATTCGTCATTAATATGTTTCAGGGGCGGGGAGCATCTATTACATACCCAGACATTAGTATGCAGCAAAGAGCTTTATTTAGGAAGGATGGGGTTCATTTATCTGACTTGGGAAATTCCATCTTTATCAATACATTGAGCAATGAATTGCATCATTTCATTAAGTGCAACTTTTCTTCTCCAACATTTCCCTTACCAAAATCACCAACCACCATATAGTATATTCAAAGTTGAAGTTTAAGGGGGGGGGGGGGTAATTGGGTTTAATTGTTTATGCTTGTCATGTGTCGATTTTGCAAGTGTCATTTGTCACTCAAATAGCCCTCGCAAATCTAATATCAGTTTGCACAGTCAGTCTATTGATTAAGTGTGGTACCAACTGCATGTAGTTGATCATCCATTTATTTGCTATGTGTACTTCCAAATTTATATAGAGAGAGAGAGTGGTACCATCTGTATCAAAATTATCTGTATTTTAAATATCTTTAGTGTTTTAAAGCACCATCTGTGCTTCCATATATATTAGTATTTATATTAATTTTGGGCTGCAAAATTTCCGCCCCATCTTCGTTTTGGCTGGTGGGTCTGGGGACATCAGGCATGGGGCCATGTCCTTTGACCCATTTGGCACAATTTTGCATAGATTGCTTTCTCTGGGTGGTACTTTTTTCCAGGCTCCCTGGATCAAGATGGCACTTCTATTGCTTAATTTTTATGCTGCCAAATGTTTCTAAGCATACATATGATCAATAATTGTACTTTTCTGATATATTGTATATCTATTAAATGGCCATGACAAGCACACCAAAACACAATTTTTGTTATTCATTTGTTCGTATTTACAATCACCTTGTACCTTTGTTTAAGGTTTTTCTGATCTATGTCTTCCTTCGTGGTTTTATATTGAAACTTTCACAAAAAAAAAGTCTTATTAAAGTGCATGACCATTTTAGGTAACGCTGGGACATTAGAAAATGACGACATCGCCGTATATCTAGCTATATTTGTACTGATAAAAATATCCAAAGTATATTTTAAGTATGGTATTGTCTTTATTGATATATTTTCCTTGTCATTGATATATAACACTTGATATATTTTCGCAAAATCAGCTCTACAAATCTAACAGATGAATTTTACAATGCACCGTGCCAAAAAGACACCAGTATTGTGCACGACATCCATATATTTCATGTTATGAAAATGACTATTTGATGTACTTTGCACAAAGAACAAGAAAATTCAATCTGATAGGGATTCCTGCAGTCGTATTCTATTTCACGTGGATTTTCTTCTATTTAGATTACAATGAGGCATTTTTTTTTTTTTTTTTTTTTGTCTTCTGTTTAATGTTGTGATATTTTTCGTCGTTAGATGTTAATTAAGAAATAACTGTCTAATTTTTTTTTGGTTTCATGATGTGATCAATCGATTGGCTTGCGTGATAATTTGCATAAACGCCATATAGTATATTCAAAGTTGTAGTTTAAGGGGGTGGGGGGGGGGTAATTGGGCTTAATTGTTTATGCTTGTCATGTGTCGATTTTGCGAGTTTCATTTGTCACTCAAAGGCCCTCGCAAATCTAATATCAGTTTGTACAGTCAGTCCATTGATTAAGTGTGGTACCAACTGCATGTAGTTGATCATCCATTTATTTGCTCTATTTGCAACATTCAAGTCAAATCCGATAACAGGTGTGACCACATTCCACATTGACGCAATCTTGAAGTGGTGTCACACAGAAGTCATAAACGGTTCAGCAAGGCTTGATGGATGATTTGTAAGATAGATTGTAATATTAAGATCAATTTAATATAAACATCATTTTATTCAAGTGTAAAGAAATTCTGTCAATTTCTCGACTTTCTTCGAGAATACTTCTTTTATGTTTTTGTGTATTTACGTCTACAGTTTCCGAGAACATTCACGGACTAGATTTTTAGTGGAAATATTGAAAAATCGTAATAATTATTGACTGGAAGTAAAGTACTAGAATATTTCATCAGTTGCAAACACTAATAGCTAAGGTTTGAATTGAAACTTATCCAATGTAAACAAATATTGTTGCAATGTAAAGTTGGTTTACAGTATATTGCTGGAACATAAGCTAGTGAGACAATCTGCTACACATGGGCTCCTCTGGAAACTAGATACCAAAACGTTGACATATGTTAAACAGAAACTGATTTAGGGCAATGAATATTTGCAAGGTCGTCAGAAGACGTGGATGGGTATCAGTCTCTCTCTGGCTGTAATTTTGACCTGTAAAGAGCTTCATCGTCTTTGAAATCCCTATTCATCTGTAAAGATCTTCTGTAAAACTTGCTGATCTGCAATTTGATAAATAAAAAAAATATTAATGTTTTTCCTTTAATATATAGTTCCAATATTTCAGCCTCTTTTTTATTTACACAGTGTTTACAATGGAAATCAGTTATTCAGATTACCAACAACATGAATTTTATCAGTGACAAAAAGGCATGATTATCATTTCCTGGCATTATGCCAATATTTTGGCTCCTGTGCCGTTCTTAAGCATTTCAAATTGTACAAAAATTGGTTAAAAATATAATTGTTAGACGATACCTTGGATTGGAATAGTCATTTTTTTTCTCGTATGTTATGTTACTATGCATTTATTGATTGAAGTTTGAAATTTTCATTTTTTTAACAAGTCAATCTTGTCTTAGGTCATATTTTTGTCAACATGAAATATTGGCTGCTACTAAAAAAGAAACATTCATAACAAATATAGAGTCATATTTTGGAATTTTGATTGGGTTCAGATAAAGATACTTCGCAGGTATGTTAAGGCAGCACATTGATCATTATTCGGCGAATTTACACTTTTTTTTGTAAAATGTAACATTGATAAATCGGAAGAGCAATGGATAAAACATTTACTATTATTGTCCATTGTATAGACAACTTTGAGTCTAAGGCTAAAAGAAGCACTCCACTGTGACGTCATCATGTGACGTTTATAAATAGAAAATTTGCCTTAATGAATAAGTGAAAAGTTCAACACTACCCCGGGGATAATTTATTTTTCTTTGTAAAATTAATTATGTAAAAACATCACTGGGTCACGAAAAGTATCAATTTTTTTTTTACATTTTGTACATACGATCGAGAAATTTTTATCTTTTCATGTTTAATCACAAGATTCTAGCAGCACTTTCAAAGTACTATAGAATACAAGCTTTCTATATAAACAAACGTTATGTTTCAAAGTATGCAGCGTAGTGTTGAACTTTTGCATCTTTGTTGTGACAGAGGAAATAGTGATCGTGATTTCAAAACACTGTCTTCATTATAAGAAAAAAATGATAAGAATAAATCAGCGTACCTGATTCTTACTCTTTAATTCCTTATGAATCACACATAATGTTCACGGAATAAACTTTTAAACTCCTATTTTATATATTTGTTTACATGAATTCTAGCTAGTTTCATTTTCACTCGGCTGTCCCTCCACTGTCCTTCAAAATGAAGTTCGGTATTATACCCCCCTGACAATTACTTTGCTAATTATACTATCCAAAAATGAAAAGAATATTTTACATGTTTCCAATCATTTCTTGGACCTAAAATAAAACTTTGAATAAAGATACTAAAAAATCGTTATCTCTAAAAACCACGTCATACAGCTTACTATGACGTCATATTGTATAGGCAAGTAGAATATCTGAGTGTAGTCTTAACATACCCGCGTAAAAAATTCTGTTTATCCTTGAGACTTGCTACTACCACATTTTTCATATTTGCATGGTTTTCTAGTAGACACGCTCTTAATAGATTCTCCCACCCTCCACTTTCCTTCAATATATCTAGAAAACATTGAAAATATTTTGAAGAATTGTTAGAGTAAAAACTTAGCAGTTAGTGACTTTAATCTTATCAGATTTTAAAGGAGTATGGTTCTAATTTTGCATATTTTTGACATTGTGATGTAGGTAAAAAATATGAAACAGGTTTGCTAAAAAATAATTTTGAAAAATCACTAGCTAACATGTTCCTCAAGATACAATGTAGATACACTATACAAGATCTAGAATCGAATGGATAATATTATTGATGAAATTTGCTTGACGACTGCGATTTTCCCCGTGAAACCTTTATAGTAATCCTATTCATATTTGAATAAATTTTTGTAAGAAGTTTTGTCTAACACGTATTCTACTCCACATTTTGACCCCATACATAACTACAACTACAATTGTAGCAAACTGCATTTTAATGAAATGTATTTTCCTTCTGAGGATTTATTTTTACAGTTTTCAAAAACTGCCATATTTACTGTGGCTGAGATTGAAACAAGAAACTTGTATTCCAAGTATTTTCGTCTGTGAAAATATAAATAACGTACACATTATCACTTTTAAGAATAAGCTCCTGTAACACTTTTCTTTGTTTGGCTGAGCCCTATATATATGTACATCTGTTTTATACAAATTATATGATATGTTTCAATGGATATGACTCTTACCAAATACAACATTTTCTATCAGAAGCAAACCTGAATTACTCATTCGTAATATAGTTCCAGCGTGATCGGGAAAAAAAATCAGGCCTATGGGTCGACCAATCATCGTACCACCAACAGAAAAGATGAAGCTTTGATTATCCTGTTTTCTTGCCTAATCATCAGTTATTGCATATTCCAAAAACCTTAGATAAAAAGGATACATGAACTGAAGAGATAAATTAACGTCTTTTCTCTATTGTTCAAACATTTATCAAACATTCTGGAAGATTCAAATGTTAGTATATATATTAATATAAATATATTAATTTATATCTACATGCATATACCAAATTATATGATTCTTTAAAATGCATTGATTTGTAAATTTCGCAAATATTGAATACTTTAAATGTACATACATAACTGATACCTTATTTAATCTTTGTAATTTACATGTAGGGAGAGAGCGTAATAAGTTTTTAGAACTTGTGCCCAATCCGTTTGTAATTAGAAATTACAATAAATATGTTCAATCCGTAGAGAAGAAGCAAGATCAACATGTTTGAACATCTTGATTTAGCTTTCTTTGTTTTTAGCTTTTTCATCGACAACTTCTCCTATTTATGTTACAGTAGTTACATGTATATTTCACTATCATCTGGTTATGGTGTATATGTCTTACAACTGACAGCATGTTCCGAGTACGATAAAAAATTGAACCAAAGCAGGCTACTGACAAAAAAATGATGTTAGTGGACTTTCCATAATCTCTTTTTAAGTCAGCATTTAGCAAATTCTATGGTCGTTGTAATGTTCTTGTTTGCAAATAGAACCTGTCATTGGGTAGTATTTTGACTAAGATGACTCATACAAGTTTTCAGCCAAATGAATTTTAAAATTTTGATCACGGATGTCTGTGTTAACCTGACCAGATACATGTTTGATCGATTGGGCACAGTGGTTGAATTTCAGCAAGAAATAGAACGTTTACCGATACCCATTTCGAATACTTTATATGCTTAAAGGATATACATATCCGTGTTTTAACATAAAAAGTAGCGCTGTATTTGACTTGGATTCTTTTATATTCTTAGTTTATGTAACCTCTAATGTTTATCTTAAGGTATTTTGAGAATCTTTTACATTTTAATAATCAAGTTCATTGAAATTTTATTATGTGTTCTCCTTGCTTTTGAATCACACATACCTGTCAAATTTAGATAATGAATCACAAAATAAGAACTGCAAGTGTTCAAATATACAGAATGTGCGTTCTGATTGGTTTATTTAGGTTTTGAATTTTCGATTCTTCATTTGAATCTCTCATTTCATATTTCATGCCTCTCCGCTAAGCTCTGTTTATGTGAAGCTAAAAGTAACCTTTCGCCAGCGAAGATCTTTAATGCTGTTAAGCCTTTTGACTAAACAAATTATCTAAAAAATTCTCTAGCGTTCTTAATATTTTACAGCCTACTTTCTGGCAGCCTTTTTAGATCGATGTCCCACCTATCTCTTTAACCATTCTGGAAATTTACATAATTTGATGTTTTTAGCTTACTATATAATTCAGTTTCTGTTATGTAGTAGTTGGGAATCTCAAAGACATTCTCTTAATCTACTAATCGTTCTTTTAGAAATTGCTTCCATAGATTCATATCAATAAGTTTATCATCTGGTTGTTAAAAATAGCAATTATTCAACTTTAGATTTTTGTGATTGTGGATGACCTTCTTATGAAATATTTATAAATGCATGTGTCTTTCTGAATATAACTTACATGACACTCATAAAAGTGCCATATCTCACATGCAATATCTGGCAGATAAACGGTTTCTAGTATAGATTTTGCGTGTCTGAGGTAAATGAATGTGAAATCCTAAGTTTATGTGTGATTCACCTCAAATGTCACACGGCTGAAGAGCTATTGTCTGTAACCACTTAAGCTTTATTGCCACGTATGGTCACCGATTTTGATGAAACTTTGCCCGTTGATACAACTTGACACCAGAAACATATATCCAATAATATTCGGTTGTAATGTGTCTTGGTTGCCATGGTAACAGACAGAAAAGTTTGAAAAATTGAGATTTTTAGCTACTTTGAATCTTTTTGAGCCTTAATAAAGACTTAGAAAAAAAAACATTCTCACAAAACCATGACACATTTAGAATATATATCAAAGTTAGTGGTAAACATGGCAACATTCGGAATACATTTTAAATGTTGGAAAATGCCAAAACACGCTCAATATTTAATCATGAGTTTGATTATTCTGTTAAAAAAAAATCATTGCCATGGCAACACAGTGTGTAACCATACAAAATTTGTTGCCAAGCACTATCTTGAGGAATAAATGCCGATTTAAAGCTTGCAAAAATGCATCGTTTAAACGCGTAACACAGATAACATAAGAAAAATTGGGATGTGCAACCATGGAAAAATCATACCGGTGGTTTAAAGTCATTTTTTGGCTGCTTGAGGAATTTAGTTAACATTTAATCAAGAAATATTATCTGACTCGCCTTGAATTGTACTTATCTGACAGAATTAAATTTGAATATCATATATTGATAAAGTATGGTGAAGAAATAACACTGTTGCTATGGTTACCAAGAAGCTTTTTGCATCCAGTTAGAGATTGTGTGGTAATCAAAATTGAAAGTCTGGTAAGCTGTTCATAAATATCAGTCATAAAGTTTTGGAAATGTACATGCAAGAGTGTGTATCTAAGTAAACAAAATATTTTTCAGCATTTTATGCATATTTTTTCCGCTAATTTCCATAGTTATGCTCCATTTAAAGTATTCAATTTAATTTTGTTTTTGAAATGTGAGAATAAGGACACACAAATTCCTTTAAGAATTGATCACACGTAATATAGAAATGTGCTTTTAAAAAGATAGGATCAGATTAAAACATACAAAGAGTAAACTTAAAATTCCTTTGCGGTATTAAAACCATGGCAACCATTGCCAACCAATAATTAAGAAATATCACATTTTGGTATACATATACCTTGGTATACATAAGGACAAGGATCTTTTTCTATTGTTTGGTTGCTTTTCATCGTATAATTGCTTTTATTTTTAGTGTACGACTTTACAAAAAGAATGAATAAAATTACTTCTTTTAAAACTTTGTTTCCACAGTAATGTAACTATGTAATGATTGATTTCTCAGGTATATTTATCATGCATTTAAGATATCAGGTCTTCAACGTTTGGAAACAGTCATTGCCACTTATTTGCATCGCTGCAAACGTTATTCATTGGACTCTGAACATGTTTTAAAAAAAATGCATTTTTCAAACTTTAGGACATGTTGCTGTGGTAATTTTTACACATAGCAACCAATTTTGGCCTGGTTTGAGTTTACGGTATCAGAGATTTTCGTCATAGAGAGTTTGGAGAAATTCTGAGACTATGCGTACAATAGCTCCTAGTTAAAATTTCAAATTATTACGAAGAATGACTCTTAAGAGGAAGTAGTTATAGATCGTTAAGAGAATAATCCATCTAAGGAATTATCAGATACCAAGTAATGGTACATATACAGTAAAAAAAAATATTTTAGGAAATCAGAAGAAAACAGTTTTTAAATCAGGAACCAATATGGTAAGTGGAAGATCTTTTTTATCATAACCAAGCACGTTAATTATCATATTTTTTTCCGAAAGAGTTTTTATTTATATGGAGGGGTGTCTATTCCTACACAAAGGAATATCTTCATAATAAAAAATTATATGCGAAGTCGAATTTGCGATGAAAATATGATTTTGAATTGATAGATTACCTATAATCGAAAAATTGTTTAGCAAAAATCAGAAAATTTTAAATCATTTCTCCAAAACTGTTTAAATTAATTTGCACTTGCTGATCTTAATATTATTCACGAAGTATGTGCTTTCGATTACATTTTTATACGCATTTTCATGCAACATTTTAATGGCTTTTTATTTACCTTATAATCATGGAATAATGTTTTGTTTTAGTAATGAACATGTTCGCTGTCAATATATATGTATTTACTTATTTCAATTGTCATTCGGTGTTTCTTTAGAGCAACGTGAAATCAGGTATCAACTGACTATTAATCATTCGCTACTGCGCAGATAAGCTTGCATTTGTCCCATTCTAGTTAAAGAGGTTCTGAGCTATTATTCAATGCTTCGTAAGTAGATTTTAAAGATTTTCTGTCCTAGTTGGATTAGAAATCTCCGTAAAAGACTGTCATCACGACATTTATTTTACATATTAGTATATCAAAAAATTCTATTTATTTGTAACTAATGTAAATCACATACCAATTTTGATGCACCAGATGCGCAATTAATGCTGCAACGATATGTACAAAACAAAAAGCAATACACTTAAAACCTGCATAATCATTTTTTTTTTTCAAAAATAAAATTTTGACCTTTAGTAAAAGATGATATTTAAAAAATATAACAAGGAAAAAAATAGCTTTAGAAAGTTTGATAAGCAGTTAAATCACTGCATGTAGATCTGTGGGTTCATTCATACCTTCTTGTTGCCATTACAGATTAAAAAAATAACCAATGCATTATATGGCATAAACACTTGCAAGAACATGAAAATTGACAAATTCTTTTGATAGAAAAGAGGCATAGGCAGTGGTGAAAATTTCCGACCATTCAACCCCCTAATAATGTTTGTCATTTCATAAAACAGTAAAACTTGTTTAATCCAAATACCATGGGTTCCATAGAAATTAGCCAGATTAGACAACATTCCAAATTAGACAACATTTTAAACAATTGAATCACAAAAAAAGAACCTAAAGTTGGCATCGCATTAAGCAAGATTTCATACTACACAAAATCCAGATAAGACAAGTTTCACTGTACTAAACCTTTAATGACATGCAATTTTCTTTTATCAATTAAAGTTTAAACGTCTTACGCATTCAAGGAAGTTTCACTTTAATTTTTATTTTATTTCATTTATTTATCTTTTACGCCCCTCTTACTAGAAGATGGAATGATTAACATAATAACTTGAAGTTATGCTTTCAGTAGACTTAATTGAACACTTTATTTAGAGTTGTATGCAAAGAGAATTTGTTGGGTTTTTAAAGGCCAAACTAGACGGATCGAGAAAGAGTCACATCAAATTTATGATTTCTTGACAACAAATGAAAACAAGCTATTATGTCGGTGAAATTTTCATCTGCACATTGCATTGCTCGGAGGCATTTCTATTTTCATTTAGAGCACTATCTTTTCGTCGGTTAAAATAGGGGCAGTCGTTAAGATAGAATCTCTTGACTGATTTTTTTATTAATGTATAAATATTATTTTTGAAAAAAAAAAAAAAAAAACCATCAGCTTCAGAATTCTTTAATAACACTTGCAGTTTAAGAAATAGTGTAGCAGCATTCCTTTGATGAGATATATAAAAAGAATAAAGAAAAAGGGATATCAAAAAGGTACGTTTAATACAATATGACTTTAGGTGAAATGAATTTGAATTATGTCATATACTACAACTACATGTAGCTTACAAGACAGTTCATATCAAAAGGAATTAGGAATTTTTTATTCTAGTGAGCTTACTTTTAAAGATGGTCTTTTGCACAATAAAATCAAAATGAATGCATATTTTAAGCTCAAACAAAAATAGATATTTTCAATACGACGGTTATAGATATATTTTATTTGCATGCACACAAAATCAAAACACTATCAATAAATGACAAATATGTGCATATATAAAAATACAATAATTCTCACATCAATACATACACTTTGTAAAGACTAAATCTTGTCAGTCTTAGAATTTGTATTGGCTGTTCATGCTGATTTGTTCACATTTTATTTACAATTTGCATTATCAAGTCAATGGTCTTTTATGTCATTAAAAGAGTATCCATGGCAATTAATTTTTTTACGTCGAAATTGGGGAAAAAAGTTTAAAAAAACTTGATCTGCTCACAAATTGCTAATTACATCATTTTTATATGTCAAGAAAATGAGTTAGTTTTTCGTTTTCTTTATATGTCAAGGACAAAAATGATTTTTAGAAAGTAGAAATAAACCAACAAGAAAGAGAAAGGTGTTTGAAGCCTTATTTACAAATGTATCTTAGTAATACTTGATACTAGATTTTTTTTATTCTAAAGGGGAGTTGAAAAGTCACGATTTCGACAAAGTAATTAAACAAATTGCAAAAGATCTTCATCATACGGGCTATCTGTAAGTATTATTTCTCTGTGTATCTTTTAGCTTTCTAAAGCTTTTTCCAGTGATATAATTATATAACCGTTTATTTAATTATCAAATGTATTTACTCATTAACGCAAATATAGCTTACGGATCTGTGTTGCTATAATAAATCTTTATCTTCATGAACTTTTTCTTTTACTAAGATGATAGAACAGTTTGGTAACAACCATGATTTAATAATCTATAGTACTGCGCAACGTCAATTTTAATTCACATACTCGTATAATAAATGCACAGATACATGTAGTAATAAAAAAATTGGGGAAAAAATTCAAAACAGTGTACGGACTTGCCTTTCAGTTTGAATGAAGGAATGAATAAAACTTTTAAATTCTTGATAAATAAAAGCAATGACTCAAACCTTTAACAATAAATACATTTAATTTAATTTAAAAGGAATAGATAAAAGCATAATTTAAAAGAGAGGGACAGCAAGTATATTTTAATTTTTCCCCACACATTCTATATTTCTTATTGACTGTTATTGGCTGTGATGAAATACATTGCAAATTATTTTCCAGGGATGTGAAACAGGATTCTCTTTCTGTACTTACACGGTGGATCGATTATATAATGGAACTAAAAAGTGAAAGTGCATGAATTGAGACATTAGAGGAAAATTATTTCCGGATGGATGAAATCTATCAACAAATGAATAACCGGATAGAGGCAAGTGTTTAGAATTTATCAGCTATTGTTCTTTTTATCTCAAGAAACACTAATGCCTTTTAAATATTTTTAGTTACCCTTTTCTCTAAAAAAAAATAATAAAGATGGACATTTACGTCAAACTCCGTTATATATTACTTGTCGTTATTCATGATGTATTTCTTGAATTCATTTTCACCAGATACTGTGTGTCAAACATTCTGCAAAAACACAAAGAAATAACAAGTTCCAATTTTGATAACTTTACCGTTATAACATCACTTTATGTTTGTCTTCAACTTTTACAGGCAACATATATAAGCGATTTTTGAACTGTATACAGGGGATTTTTACCCCAGTGTTATTTTTACCCTTCAATGCTTGAAAATAATTTCGTCCAGTTTCAAAATCTCTCAACCACCGCCCTGCGGAAGAGATACTGTTGTTTACTTTGAATTTAATGACAGCATTGTTCCCCTTAGGCATCATGTAATTTAAAGTTTTCCCACCCCTATGTGATGTCATACGTTTTGCAGAATTCTATTATTAATTTAACTAAAAGCACATTATAAATATCTGTTTTGAGAAATGAGTTTTTTTAAAGGTTAAAGAAAAAGAATTATGAAAAGTAATATTTACCATCACTCTTTTATTCTTCAAAAATGTACAAAGGACAATAAGTTATACTTAACAATTCTTCATTTTTGAAAAGTTGGGGGGGGGGGAGCAACTTCCAAAAATAATCTGTCAAGCCAAAAAAAAATAATAATAATAATAATAAACTGAACCCCAAAAAGGGGAAAGAGCAACTTCCAAAAATAATCTGACAGGCACAAAAACAAAAACAAAACAAAACCAAAAAACAAAAACCAAAAAATCAAAAAAAAAAAAAAAAAAAAAAAAAAAAAAAAAAAAAAAAAACACCACCCACACACCCACCCACACACAAACGCAAACGCAAAAAAAAAAAAAACTAATTATAAACTGTTCAATTCCTGGAATTTGACAGTGCTTGACCTTGCAGCAACAAAAGGGAGGGGGGAACCAATCACTAAAGCAAACTTCTATATTCGGAAAAAGTAGGTCCCCCAGCAGTCTACGGGCCTGAGAAGCTTTGTAATACTGCACCTGACATAACTCTCACACAGGAGCTTATAAATGTATATTGAAAACAAGATGTGTTTGTGAAACACTGATTCCCCCGTATGGCAGTTTATGGCGAAGGTTAAAGTTTCTTCAAATGCAAGTCAAAATCCAGGCCAAAAGACAAAAAATGTTGATACCCAAAGAAAGGTCTTGTCTTGAGGAATACACCTGTGAAATTTGAAAGACTTAGATACAACTGTTCAAAAGTTATGGCGAAGGTTAAAGTTTTTTAAATAAAAGTCAAACGTCAAGGTCAAGGTCAAAGTGGTTGGTATCCAAAGGAAGACCTTGTCACAAGGATTACATATGTGAAGTATGAAAGCCCTAGCACCAACCATTCAAAAGTTATGGCCAAGGTTAAACTTTTTCAAAAGTAGTTTAAACTCACTCCTAGGTCAAGGTCAAAGGGTCAAAGTGGTTGGTATCTAAAGGAAGGTCTTGTCACAAGGATTACATATGTGAAGTTTGAAACCCCAAGCACCAACTGTTCAGAAGTTATGGCCAAGGTTAAAGTCTCATAAAATTTTGCAAAAGTGGGTCAAACTCCAAGGTCAAGGTCAAAAGGTCAAATATGATGGTACCCAAAGAAAGGTCTTGTCACAAGGAATACACATGTGAAATATGAAAGTCATAGCTCCAACCAATCAAAAGTTATGGGCAAGGTTAAAGTTGACAACAGACAGACAGACAAACAGACAAACGGACAAACAGACAAACAGACAAACGGACAAACAGACAAACAGACAGGCAGGACAAAAACAATATACCCCCGGGATCTTTCGATCCAGGGGCATAAAAAAATATACAGTATATGACGTGAGGCTGCTTATTACTTCCTCAATGTAACCATAGGCATGAGGGATGGGAGATTTTTAATACATGAAAGTTGCAGGAGATTATACATTCATGACATTGGGTCAGATTATGACACAGATATGAGTCATAAGCAATTTTTATGTCAAGTATCAACTACCAATTAGCCTCCATTTGAGAGTAATAGACCAGGTACAAATAATACACCTTTTCTGCCAGAGGCCTTGAACTTGCTGGAATGACCTTGAGTCAAGGTCAGTTACTCAGTACATACATGTAACCTTAGGTTATATGCAATATTTATAATCAGTATGAGCATCTCATGTTCTCCATACAAAATACAATCAGGAAAGGAATTCAATGTTTTTCTTAAAATTACTTTTAACTTGATTGAAGGATCTTGAATCAAGGTCATGGCACACATTTGGGTCATTACCAGTCCAATGGAAAACCTTGTTAAAAATAAAGAAGATGAATTTCTCAAGTTCTACTCTTTTTTTAATATGCAGTGCATTTAGCATCTGTTCATACAATGATAAGGCCAAGATAAATAAATATTGTGTTTCCTATTCCAACCAGAGAAAAAATAGGGTAGGTAGGTAGGGAAAACATTTTATTTTATTTTAACATTTTATTTGTTAAAATTCAACTTTGACAATAAACAAAATGAGAGAAACAAAGGGCTCTTTTCTTTTTTCCCCAAAGGGCAGCTTACTAATGGCATTTCTGCTTGATGTGTAAAGGATATCATTTTCTCAAACACAGAAGGATTTCTTATGGTGAAAATGGAATTATTGTTTACTTCCTGAAAGATATCGGCGGATAAATTTTTCAGGGTCGGCTCTTATATTTTAGGGTCTGTCAGGGAATCGGAAACACACAATTTATTTATGTAGGCCTAAGGTAATGAAATAATTTTTATAATGAAATGTATATATCATTGCAAAATTCATGAGAATCAAAATACATTAACATATTGAAAACTTATTTGCTCTATCTACAAAAAAAAATAATTTGTAATTTGACCAAATTCAAATTAATGAAAAAATGAAAAATTATTACATGTAGTACCAAACACTGACATGGTATCTAAAATTGATGCTGTAGACATGGCAAATTCTGATAACACCAATAATGTATCCACAACTGATGCCATGGACATTTCAAACAGACTGAAGACATAAGACTCTTTTCATACAAAACTCGGGGGTCTTTGAAAAAGTCTGTATTCTGAGATAGAATCCACTTTTCTTTTAGAATGAGTCGCACATAGTTTTCAATTCACATCTTCCATCCATAACTCCATATCGAATATGTTGACAATGCCAGTTTTACACTGCATTCGGGAATACTGGAACATCATAGGAAATGATATTGTGTCCAGTGACTAAACTTTTCTTGTTGTTACTCAAAACTTTAGTCTAATTCTGATTGATACAGGAGAAACTTCTATTAAACAATTTTTTGATACATATTTCAAAATATCTGTAAGGTTTGGGACAGTTTGGGGTATTTCACTGTCACGTCAGCAAACGCCAAAGTAAACACGTGCCCTTTTGGTCCAGTTTCCTTGTGGTCGTAATCTTTTACACTTAATATTTGGGAACAGTTTTTGCAATAATGCACCAATTGCCTCTGGAGAAAGGACACTTGTATTTTTTTCAATTAAAATTTTCCCAGATTCATTTTCATAAATGTTGTCAATAAACCTGGAGTATTTTAAAAATATTTTAAAAAATTAATGTTGACTTCAGAATTTATAAAATTCTCTATCGTTTATTTTCAGGCATTAAAAAAAGATAGCTATTGATTTCTAAGATGCTTTTTATTTGTTAAACAAATTAATTACCATGTAACAATCTCTGTGTTTGCATAAGCAGATTTTCTCCTTGCCATTTAAAATATGTGAATTTATCGTATTTGTATATTAGCGCCAAAACTTTTTATCGGAAGTTTCGGGCGTCATCATATGCGTAATGTCATTCGGAACATTAGTCGGAGTTATCGTTATTGCACTTCCTTCCCAGCTGGTGCACATGAAGAAAATTACCCTAGATGCGAGTAATTTAATCGAAATATTCACGAATCGGTGGCACTAAAAATAATTGAAAATATAAAAAAAAAAGAAGAAGAATGTGTAACAAATTTATAGGTATGTGCATATTCCATGTTTTGACATGCTTTTAATAAATAATCAGGCGAAGTTTAAGCGAGGTGAGGCAGACGACGAGAAAGAGTTGCAAGCCCTCTCTCTTTTCATGTATCGGTCGAAAACGAGATATTTAAAAACAGCTTATAGAGACAAAAGGGTTACATTATCGATAACATGTAGTGCATATTAGAACACAAATATAGGAAAAAGGTGACTCGACCCCATATTTAAAAAGAAAAAAAAATGGAAAAAGGAGGGTGGGGGTGTCCAGACCCCCAAGTGTCTGTGTTTTTTGCTAGGCAAGAGTTGTCATGCGTTTGTGATTCGAATGATGGGTTTAATCTTTGCACAGTAATTTTTAGTCAGACGCAGCTCACCATCGCCTTTTTTTGAGTCAACAAAGCCTTACTATACCGCTGAATAGATTTGGTGGACGAAAATCCTCGTTTACTCCGCTTTTCATTCTTTTCGAAGCATCCGCTTTGTTTACATTGCCGAAAAGTAAGATAAGTCGTAAAATTATCTCAACTTTTTGTTAGTTTGAATCCAATGAAATTTTAGTCACATTTTATATGATTCTATATCAAGTATATATCTTTAAATAAGTTGCATTGTAAATTTTATTTCAAACTCTACTAAAGAGATGAACGACATAAGATTCATTTACGTCATTCGGAGTTGCGCGGTAGATTCAAAATCGTCACTCCCATACGTCCTTTAACAAATAATTTTACAAATGATCAATGACAAGTCAATTTATGAGTTCCATTTTTGTTGAAAAAGTAGCTGTCTATGATGTCAAAAAGCCTGGGATTTAATTTATCGTGAGAAATGTTTTTTACAGTGATGATTTTATGGATATTGATTTTGATAAAATTTTCTGAAAGTAAATAAGAGTTTTTAAGTATTCACATCCGATTTACACCACTTATCGAATATATTGTTGTACAGTACTCCTGATGTTTCTCCTTTACATCTGTAAATATTTAAAAGGTAGTAAAGAAACACGAGTCTTGATAGAACATTTACTTGAGTCCGCTATGTGCCTTAAAGCTGTTTGTAAGGATTTTTATGTAGTTAAGGAATGCAGCATACGTATGGTAATTCAACTTCAATTTGATTTGTCGGAATATTAAAATATTCAAAACTGATTTTGAAGAATTTTCTCCTTAGAAATGGAGCTACGGATATAGGTTGGATTACAACTGACAGAATTAAATCTCAGCTTGTCTTAATTACATTTAAAATAACAAGTCTTACCAAAAAAAGACAATTTTGTCACTTGCTTTGTCAGTAAGGACCTTTAAATATTGATCGCGTAATCTATCTTATTCTTTTTTTCACTTCTGAGTTATTGAACACTGGAGATTAAGTAGTATTCACATTGCCCCTCAATCGCTCAATGCGAAATTTCAACATCAATCTGATACTTTTATTCCGTTCGGTCAATGTATCAAGGTGT